TTTTTTTTTAAACGCAATCTTAAATGTCTTGGATGCATGTAATATGTAACTGGATGCACATTCATTTTTGCACACAATCTTAAGTATTAGGCAGTGTTTGTAAAGGTTTGTAAATAATAGACAATGTTTAAACCAATGGAGGAAGATCGGATGGGACTATTATTGTTATTAATTTGTAGATAATTCATAGATGTATTCCAATGATTATGATATTGTCTCTTTTTTATCATAGTCATCATAGTTTATTCAATTAGAGTGAACTTAACTGATTCTCTTTTGAATAAATGCTGTTCTTTTTTAACATTTTATTCATCAAAGAAACCAGCATATTCTAATGATTTCTGAATGATCATGTGACACTGAAGACCAGGAGCGGACTTAGTGATCTGGGGGCCACAGGCAAAATATAGGAATGGGGCCCTATACATTTGCACACATTTACCTCAACATCGAGGTTCCTTTTTTGTTGTGATTCTTGCTGCAGCACAGTGGTGCCCCATAGTTTCTATATTTTTCAATGTTATAATGGCTTACTTTCATGTGGTAGACCACGAAATAGCAACTGATAAATACAGTAGCAATACAGTTGAGCTGGTTTTCACAAAAACAAAATAAATTATAAAATGATAAACCTCACAATTGAGCCTTTAAACATTTTTTTAAGAAAAGGGATGAGTCAGAAGTATAAATGATTAAATTAATTTAAAACGGGGTTATGTGGGTGGATTTTCGCATTGGTCTGAACAAAAACTGCAGACGGTCTTATTGAAAATGCACATTCATTCACTGCCAGCAGGAGGTGCTTTTGGAACGTCAGAAATACAGCGGTTTCCATGGTAACGGCTGTAAACAAAGCAGCGGCAGCGCTCATAAATGATACTTTATCAGGCCTGAAATGAAAATGGCATCGAAACTTTTCTGGAGACAGTCGGTTCCTTTTAGAGATCCATTCATATAAAAACTTGAATTAGTGAGAATGAGTGTGAAAAAAAAATAGCCTACATTGATGGAAAGTCCACTGATGAGTTACCAGCGTAAGCCTATATGTGCCTGGGCTCAGCCTACACTCTCCAAAGGCTGTCTAATTCTAAACTTTAAAATACATTTATTTTTAGTTATTTTAACTACAAATTAAAAGAAACTGGGGGAAAAAACATAATGAAAAGGAAATTATACATTTACACACCTAAGGATTATATAGCCTATCAACCAAAAAAGTAACTGCGTACATGCGTCCTTTATTGGGTCCTTCTCATAAATGAGCAGTGTTGGGGAAAGTTACTTTTAAAAGTAACGCATTACATATTCTCTTGTAAATTAAAAAGTAATGCGTTACTTTACTAGTTACTTGAAAAAAGTAATCTGATTACGTAACTTGCGTTACTTGTAATATATTACCCCCAACACTGTAAATGAGTAAGCGGCATTTAGGCTAAAACAATAAACATATAATACGTACTGTTGCTCAATATTTAATTACAGCTTCAGATGCACGATATTTTCATTTGCTACAAGCAGCCCTACACAAGAAGAACGTTCAACTGTCGTGGTAGCCTATTAACAGTGTTGGGAGTAATGAATCTCCCTCTCGTTGGTGGAACTTTGTATTGTGTGACGTAGTCCAGTGAAGGCGTGTTTAGGGCGGGTTTTACAGGAGTGCCGTGAGGCTCAGGCTTCTGGCCCGACAGTGGAAACGATTTCGGCCTCTGTGCTCGAGGTCCTAATCAATTTTCAGTAATATTTTACTCGGTACATGTTCAGTAACGCATGCGTTACAACACACTTTTAGCCCAAAATTTTATTGTTCAAAGAAAAAAAAATAAAACAGCAAGACCGCGAGACATTAACGAATCAAAAAGAGAGGGTGCTCGCTGCAGAGCCAAATGGGAGGAGCTGGAGCTCTAGCTCCCCCTCGCTGGATGTAATGGGTGGAGCTAGACACCCAACCTAGTTCACAGAGGTGGAGCTGGACATCCAGAGGGGGGGAGCTGGAGGTCATTTGGCTCTGCAGTGAGCAGTACTTGGTCAAAAATGCCGCAAGTAAGTTCTATTTCCTGTTCGTAGCCGCGTGTGGTGTCCAAGTTTGTAAATAAAGACTAAACGACAGCTTCTGATATATTTGTTTAGCAATTTATTTAATTAATCTCCCTCTCGTTGGTGGAACTTTGTATTGTGTGACGTAGTCCAGTGAAGGCGTGTTTAGGGCGGGTTTTACAGGAGTGCCGTGAGGCTCAGGCTTCTGGCCCGACAGTGGAAACGATTTCGGCCTCTGTGCTCGAGGTCCGAGGCTATTAGCCCCGCCTGGCTCGCTGTAAGCCCCGGCTCGCACTGACCAGTGGAAAAGCGGCTAATGGGTGAAGATGGCAGAAGACTGTACATGCGCGAGATGGACGTATGCGCATCTTGTCATGGCATTAGAGTTTACATATAGTCCTGTTGTGTCTAATATGAATAGACCCAAGCTATTCACAGATATTGCCAGATAATCACTTGACCTCTACCATACTTTTAACAGACTTGGATCGTTTGTGATTCTAGCTGTCATCCTTTCTTGCATTGTATTGAGCCTTCACTTTGCCAATTATAAGCTATATTGTTAGTAGCCTGAATAGCCCACAGTCATTATGCTACACCATATCGTCCGCTACTGGATGTAAAATGCTCTGCAGTACATTTTGTCATTTTAGAATAAGTATGGTAACAC